TCACTACGGCGTCTCTTATAATCATATGGTGGTTTTTGGGACGTTAAATCCCTGATATCAAGGCTGTGTTCTAATTCTTAGACAGCACGTAGACAGTCTACGCAGACTGCTTAAAAGACAGCACCGAGCCCACGCTGTCCGAGAATCGGAACACGTCTGGACGGCTTTTACGCGGCGATGCGCCACCTCGCGTCGAGAAGAAAAAGCTAAAATAAAGAAACATAACAGTTATATTTTCTGGATTATTTTGTGTTGAAATCAAAAATCAACGTTACTCACATTTAGCGTGTGGGAAAGCGCCTGCTTGTGTGCAGACGATCATTCCGGGGAGATTTGATCTATCTGAGCGTTTTGCTGAGCCGCCATCTTGTATAGACAAAAAATTAGCCTGCATCGTATTTGTCTATGATGCGGTATTCTCGGAGCAGTCCATTTTGCCGGCTACTTGAGAATTGGAATGGGACTTAAGATGGCCGCCGTCCATTTAGCTGTCTATTTAGCCATCTAATTGATTGATATGAGGGTTTAACGTCCCAAAACCACTATATGATTATGAGAGACGCCGTAGTGGAGGGCTCCGGAAATTTAGACCACCTGGGGTTCTTTAACGTGCACCCAAATCTGAGCACACGGGCCTACAACATTTCCGCCTCCATCGGAAATGCAGCCGCCGCAGCCGGGATTCGAACCCGCGCCCTGCGGGTCAGCAGCCGAGTACCTTAGCCACTAGACCACCGCGGCGGGGCTATTTAGCCATCTAGGGTGAGTATTGGAACACACCCTAAATATAGAACATCAGGGCTCATTGTTTGTCAGACCTCTGAATGCATTTAGGATAATCTAGATGTGTATCTTTTGTAAAGTCTGCGATTTCTTGTTAATCTAGTCTAGAAACGTGCCCACATGACTTCGATAATATGTAAGGTGTTTCTAATGGCGATATAGTATGTAATGAATTTTCATTCGTTTTATGAAATATAATATTAATGTGTGATGAAGCTAATGATGATTGTATAATATGTGAGGTTTAACGTCCCAAAACCTTCATATGATTATGAGAGACGCCGTAGTGGAGGGCTCCGAAATTTTGACCACCTGAGGTTCTTTAACGTGCACCCAAATCTGAGCACACAGGCCTACAACATGTGTGATGAAGCTAAAAAAAGACGACGATAAACTGTAGTTCAATCAGCTTCTGAGAAACTATATGGCTTGCCCTAACAAACATGGGCGGAAATAATTCTGGCGCTGCAAAACACTTTTCGGCAATATTTTATGATGTCGGATCTTCGAAAGTGTTTAATAAGTGGACGGTGGCCGTTCAAGTGCAAAGAGGAGCTGTGTATCAAGAGCACAAAGACTTGCTACTAAACAGTTTAGGCGCTGTAACTAATACGTGGTTTCTCTATGTCAGTTTCACAACTAGACTTTGCACTAACAGGGTTAAATGAATAGATATATTTAAATTCACCATGTTTCACTTTAGAACCACTAAGCCCTGGATTCCTATATATAGGACATTGAGCCATTTTGCTTGGGCACTGACGCGATGCTCAGAAAACAAAATAGTTTTTTCGTTCATTGAGGTTGTGGTAATTCCACCTTAACGAGAAACAAAAATATCGGCTGGTTCAAAAAATTCAGGGCTGAAAGGGGTTTACATCAGCTTCTCGGTGCTTTCCCATAATTAAAGTGAGTTCACCTTCTCGTCGTCTGAACAGATATTGACAATTGGAAGCCGATAAACGACGTAGTCTGACAAATCTTGTCCATTTCTCTGTGCCACCTTATAATGAGACTGTTGAATTTCACTTATTCATGTAGTGACTTGGCCTTTCGGTTGAGAGCCACTAAACAAATGGGTAAGGGCCTGATGGAAAGTCAACAGCTCGAACTTCGAGCCTTCTAGGTACGATTGAAAATACATAGTTGCTATTACAACAACCTTGACCTATTTTTACAGTCGCGCTGTAATTTTGTTCCGACTTCCCGAAAGCATAAGAGTAACATCCCATCAATTATCGTCTTTCTATTTCGCTTTCACTTGTACCTGTTCGTTGGTACATTACCTGCGCCGTAGTTCGATGCGTCCGTTGTGAGATCAAATGGAACAGTGAAATCCGGTAGTGTGACAACTGGGTCTGATGCTATGGCTAATACCAAATCTTTGTACGCCCTCTCATTCTCTTCCGTCCAGATAAAATCTATGTCTTTACGAAGCAAGTTGCTCAGCGGCTTCGCTCGTGCTGCAAAATCGCTTATGTAGCTTCTAAAATGCCCTGCGAGGCCAAAAAACACTGTTACTGCGTGCACATTTTCTGGCTTCTTCATCGATCATACACGTTGTACGAACTCTCCTTTCGTATATTTTGTAGATCCGTCTGAAATGCGTCCGAGAAACGTAATCTTCTGTTTAAAACATTCACTTTTTTTAAAGTTCACTTCAAACTCGGCATCGCATAATGCCATTAAGCAGATGTCACGTGCTCTGCGTCTGATGTTTCATCGTTGGAATAAACTATGATGTCGTCTACGTCTACAATGCAGAACAATACCAAGAATGGCTTGAAAACTCTATTCATCATCTTCAAACCACGCATGCCACACTGTTTTTCCACCCGAATGGGTATGATATATGCGAACACGCAAAATGGTTTGACAAAAGTCGTGTATATTTTGTGTTTCTCTTCTAGCGGACTCTGCTAATATCTTTTGCAGAGGTCTCCACAACAAAATATGTTGAAACGTCCAGTTTCTTAATTTCATCAATCCTGAGGATCGCGAAAGAAAACAGGACTGTTTAGCTATTTAAAATCCGCTAATCAGTGCACAGCCGCAAATATCCGCCTTCTTTCGGAGCCAAAGTGATATGCTAGGTGAACGTAGACACCGGTCGCTGTGTTATTCCCGCATCTAACACATTTTCAATTTCAGTTTTCAGCCAAAGTTTGTTTTTGCGGGACATGCTGTAAGGCTTTCTTCTGACTGGCGGAATATCTAAAGAGAACAGCAAATTTTGTTTTACCTAGATAGACAGGATCAGAAAATTTTTCCTCTACGTTTTTCTCACCCTTGGCAAGGTGGTCCACAACGTTGAACGACGCACACGTCTCTTGTGCCACAGTTACTTTGTCGTTTTGATAGTGATTTAATTCATTGTTTTTATACCAGATCTCTAAAGTAGTAATTTATAGTCACTTTCTTCAACGACAAGCGCGTCATTGTTAGCCTTACAGCCTTGATAAGAGAGTTGTGTTCACCAATTCATCAAATCTTTGCCTTATCTGTGAAAACATTGTACCTGCACCAATCTCACTCTAATTATTTCCTCATTTTCAACAAGGGCCGGATTTATCACTGATACAGATGCACTGCTGTCAACCAATGCGTCAACATTGTTACCATTGATATTAAGATCGATGTAAGCAAGAATAAGGGCGGTTAGAAACACAGCCTCAAATTCTGTCGTCAGGTGGGAATGGACACACTAATTTAGTCGTGTTTTGGTTGCGCTTCTATTTGCGAGATGTCTTGTTCCGCGAAAGTGCTGGTGTCAGAGATTAAGTGGCCACTCGATTCCAGCCATGATGTTTTTCGTGCTCACGAGACCTTGCTCCATGGTACTATTGGGAAGTCTGATCTGTCCGACGCACATTTTATGATGTAAAATTGGTACAGATGTTTTTAAAACGTCCAAGTAGATCCTCGATGGTTTTAGGGTACTTTACTTGCACCTGCCTCTGCAGTCGTTTAAATAAGCCTTGAATAATCAAAAGCGCTTATTCAAACTCTAGTATTTATGCGTTTGCCACGTGAAGAAGTCGTCTTTTTTTATAAAAATATTCTAAAGACTTTCCCGAGTGATATCTACATAAGATAGATCAATATCACCTTTCATCCAGTACCTGTAATACCACCTTTCGTCCAGCTCCAAGTACCTGTCGTATGTCTAGCGTAGTGGATGTCCTACCACTTTTTGGAGAGTCCGCTGAGAGACTGACGAATGTTTCTGATACGATCAAATGATTGATGCCAGGAGTTATACATGCTAGCTCATAGAACTGCCCCCAAGTGTCTGGGCTTGATCATTTTCCGTCAAATTATCCGACTTTGTTACCTGGGTGTCTGGTCGCTGACAGGCTTAAGTACTTGTTAAAAGATTTTCTATGAGTTTCTCTTATCACTCAGCGTGTCAGTCTTGCAAGCGAAGCATTTCTAGGAGGCGCGTGTCCAAAGAGGGACCGGTTTGGCTCGATGAAGTTCTTGTCTCTAGGTGCACCAGCGGCATCAAGTTATGTTCTTTAAATTTGTAATCCTTCAAAACTAGCTCCACTAATGCTTGAAAGTAAATCTCCTGCAGCGTCTTTCCTCCGTTCTGAGCGATGAACTCACGAAGCTTGGGAGTCGTTATGCTTGCAGGGAAATCATACTTCCCACCTTCTTCCACTTGACACGTTGAAATATGCGACTGGTAGTTTCAGTATCTCGATAGGCTTTGTGTTATTCACATATGAGGGGCTTCTTTTCTGTCAGACTGCGTTAACGTAACGTTTCACAATGACTAGGCACAGGCCCAAATCACGATCCCTTTATTCTTCTTTGTCTTTTGTCATTTACTGTTGCGTGCACCCTGACTGTATTGAATCATTGTTTTATCCACCATGACTGCAACAGCGTTGAATATCACAGTGGGTATGTTGACCGTCCCTCCCTGAAGACTTAGCTCCCAATTTCGCGTCGTATCAGAGCACAGCTGCTTCTTTCTCAGAACACCAACAATCCCCACTACCCTCCTCCACCCCTCTAAACATTAAGCTTCACTTTCGTGCAATCCGTAGATTTTCATTGGAACTTCCTGCTACGAACGGACTGACAACCTGCAGAATGAACCTTGTTGTAACGTAAAAGCTTTTGCGGGTGGAGTCAACATGATCAATTCATGAAATTTAACAAGTAAAAAAGCATTGGTTGGTAATTAAGAAAATAAAGCGAAGGCATACCTGCAGTAGATTAGCTCTAGTTCCAGTGGCGGGTTTTCCGGCGGAATCCTTGGGGGACCCGAAGTCCACCGTGTAGATAGGGTGGCTAGAAGCACTGCCAGAGGCAGCGCCCGAAGAGTACGACTGGGTGTGCTGGGCTCTCCTATGTGGTCCCAGGTGAAACCACTCGACCCGTAGAGCATGTTGTGTGCTGTTGAAGGTTGGGTTGCGTGTCTCGCATGGCAACTCCGTTTGCTGACCCTGGTTGACCACGATGGCAGGTCGGCCGTGTGATGTCTCTGCGAGCGTACAAAAAACACAAGGAAGCGCGTTTAGGTTGACTCAAAAGAAACCGCATCTTGGTTTATCATACAATGAACAGTAGCATCCACGAATATGTGTGGTAACGTGCTTTAATAATAGGAGAATGGTGACCATATCCTATCTTCTACTTCCAGTCAGTGACGTTCTTCTAGCTGTCACATAGCTTTCGCTGCTTACGCTCTAATCGTGTACATGAGATGGCTCATTCAACGGTGCATTACCCTAAATAATCGTGGAAACCACGTTTGAACCATCCACGATACACGTTAGCTCACTGTTTAAGCTCATTTTTTCTCCACCACTAATGTCTAAACTTTACATCTGAAGCTCTGTAGCAGCTTTATATTAAAGCCTAAAGTGAAAAAAAACAACCAAAGTTCAAATGCGCTGCAAAGCATGTACGTTTCATCATGACAAAGGTGCACATTAGACCTTCAGCCCTGAATTCTGTTAACTGAGAGCAATTTTTTCCTGTTGTTTAGTTGGAATTAAAACTTATAGAGCACAAAAATATTTTTTGCGAAAGATTTCTTAAATTTCAATAATTTTGTTTATTTCACCCTCTTGGTGCAAGTTGTCGTTGTGCAACGAACATACAGCAACTACGTATTAATAAAAGTGCCTAGACTGTCCAATATAACGTCTTTGCGCTCGTGGTGCCGAGCTTCTTATTGCACTTGAACGGCCACCATCTGATAATTAGGCACTTTCAAAGATCCAACATTATAAAAGATTGCACAATCCTGTTTTGCAGAGCCAGGCTTACTTATGCCCAGTTTTTGAAGGGCAGTCGATTGGACTGCTCTTTTTCATCATCCTCTTCCAGCTCCATCACGCACCATTCTTATATTTCGTAAAGCGAATTAAAATTCATTACGTACTATATGACTATTAGACACCTCTTACATACTACCTAAGTGATGTGAGCCGGTTTCTGGACTAGAATAACAAGAAATTGGGAATTTTTACAAGAGCTACACATCTCTATTAGCCTGAATGCATTCAGAGATCTGACAACCACAGATCCCTGGTGTCCCATATTTAGGACATGATTGTTCACTGCTGCGAATGATACATTTATGTTAGGGAAGACCCACTTTTGAAATAGAGAGTTAAGCATCTCAGAAACAACGTGAAAAGGTACAGTATCTACATATAATAGTTAACCAGTAAGGTGTAATTATTTATTTTGTTCCGGCGAGTTTTAACGTTATCGCATTGCGCCATTTTGTTTTCCACTTTGCAGAGTCTCAAGAAGATAACGACGAAAAAATTACTACGCATGCATGTGCAGGTGTATGAAGAATAGTTCGGACACCTTTTTCAATTTCTGACCTAAAAATGTCACGTTTGGCAGCCAGATTTCTTCTTGTGCTTTTTATATGACGTCATGGCCGAAAGGGGTAAATAAACTGACCCACAGAAAGTAAGAAGCAGAGGAAACTTTTGACGAAACCGGCGATTCAATATTCCTTCTTCTTTTTTGCTTTTTTGTTTTGCGAAATCTGTTTTTAATCGTCCTTCGTTACCTTACCCCCTCCTTTCATTCTTTTCTTCGTCTTGCTGTATTACGTTGTACGTAAATTTTTATACTTCCTTTATTATTATTTGCAACGCTTTAATTTTGGCTTATGAAGTGGTGAGCTACGTTTACAGAGGAATATTAACTACCCTGTTCCTACCTTTTATTTTACCTTTTGTCTGTTTTCCTGACAAAAATGGAGGACTCAGAGCACTATAGAAGTTAACTAAGCCTGACACCCATCAAAACGTTTTCAGTAATGACTGGTGTTTCATGCTTAGCACAAATTGAATGAACGATTGATTGATTGAATGACTCGGTGAATTGTTCATTATATGTTTGATTGGGTGTTGCGTGGTATGTAAGGGATATTGACGGCACGCCAGTACGTAAAGCTGTGAAGCGATTTTTCTGCCACTTCCACAGCTTCTTCACAGCTTCCCGTGTCTTGCTTTACCACAGTAAATGCAAAGTATTATCCTTGCCAAGAATACCAATAACCTTTTATGTGGCGAAATTTCAGTACTGATTGCTTTGTGAATAAAATGTTAATAATAAATCGCCTTCCTTTACGTGTTTTTGGGTCACATGATATCGGGTCATTTTGTAGGTTTTCACAGCTTTGCTCCATAAAGTTAATTTGGTAAGTGGCCAAGCATCATTGCTGGAAAGGCGAACCTGGCAAAGTACAGGTAATTCTAATAGATTTTGGGAGCTTGGCTTCCGTAACACGAGTAAAAATGCAGCAGGGTGAGCTCTTCTGGAACCATCAATACGTGCCCAAAAGTTATTGAGACCAAGCGCTAACGAACATTGACGTAGCTTGTTCCACGCATACGCATAAGCTAACAAATGTTACCATCTGGGACAACTATTAAACTGTCTGCTCGAGATTGACAGATGAAAATTTCCTTCTTAACTGCAGAAGACCGGACATAGGATGAGGAACTTAGAAAAGGTGATGCATATAAAAACGTCTTAATGAGTCAAGTGAAGTCCATGCCTAGAAGCATGTATCCTCATGTTCTGAAAGACAGACGTGGTCTTCATATTTCTCAATGTTCAAGGCTGAATGAAGAATAACGACGTTAATCGGGCTTCTTGGTCGCAAAATATGGTAACTACAAATTCTTGCTCACTCTTTTTTTTTGTGTTTACAGAGAATACGTGAGAGACTAGAGCTACGTTTTCCCGGCGAATTTGAGGTTTTATATTGCTTCATCACAGGAACCATAGGAATTTAAGTGCACAAAAACGCTCAGAAGGTTTCCGTGCTCTACTGCGAAAACTCAATTTCATTGATAAATTTCAGGCTCCAATTATGCATGATGCATGTTCCCAATATATCAGAAGTATTCAACCACCTGTGTAGTAAATTGCTCTGAAAGGTTATCAAGCATTTGTAAAGCTTCATATAGCAATGGCTCAGGAAGTTTTGAAATTGTCTCCGATCTGCATTAAGCGGCGTATTTTGCATTTTTGTCAGTTGTGGAGATTATGTTGTGAGGAATCCGCAAGCTAACAGAAAGTTAGCCGATTTGTTACAGTTTTGGAAGATACGTCACGTGTGTAGGTATGTTGAATCATTTCATTTTTATTTTATGAGCAGTGCATATTTGAACTCAACGTGCTCACAACTAATGACGGAACTTGAACCCAATTGTGGAGAAAACTGCAATATTTATGAAAATATGAGGGCATCATATACAGATGCTCAGAAATATATTTGCCAGCTTGATTGATATGTACCTTAACCGCTGTTGTTCATTAGGTGTTTCATGATATATAAACAGACTTACCAACCAATCAAATCGAAACCTTTGTTCCCGCTGACGTTCTTCAAGAGGACGTGCACATGTAAATCAAAATATGTGTCTTGCTCCTAAGTTCCTCAAAGTTTTTCGCTTCTTGTCACACATTCTTTATGAGTGTTCGCTTGCTGCCAAAGGGTCGTGACACTACACCGCAATTGGCTGATCTCTGCGATTCTGCCGTGATTCGTATTGAAGCACCATCATTGCGGCTTAGCGGCAATTCGTTACGCAGCGGTTATTGGCTGATTGGTTTCTTTCCCACCGCCTTGATGACCCTGTTGGAATGGGGCAAAACAGAATCAACGACGGTGCGCTTCGACACATTGCATGGCAGAGCACGTAATTAAGGTTGACAAAGTTTTTTTCGGGGTCCTTCACCTCGGGGTGTCTGATATTCATATAGCAGTTTCCGTGGTCTCACGCACTAAATGTTACAGGATTATCCACGCTCTCAAGGCCGACCACTCTTCCTTACCTCTAAATAAATACTTCTTCTTGGCACATATATTCTTCATTTCGTTTTTTTAATCCATCTTTCTTTCTTTCTCTCTTTTCTCCTTATTTTTTTTTCTCTGCGGTACCTACAATGTCAACCTGAGTTCCATGTCACTCTCGCATTTTTTGCTGTTTTTCTTCAGGCACCCTCCACAGAGTACCGTGAAGAGCAACCATGGCTGAAAAATTCCTAGAATTGCATACGTCAGTTTTAGCAGCGGATCTGTTTAAAGCGAGCGTAACTTGTCTACTGAATGGTAAAATTATCATAATTATGAAACGAAACGCACTTGTTTGCTGCTATTTGTGCAGGTGGCGGCTCCTTGAAGTAACTTGGACCGGCAAGGAGCTCTAGAATAGGCTTCGCAATGGCAGCTCGAAGCCTATTAGGTGCTCCAGAGACGCTCCAGAGCCAGGTAGGTGCTCCGGAGAGAACTGAGCCAGAGACGAAGCGTTGGGACGTTCGCAACTGTTTTCTAGACGTTCCCGAACATGGTATGCATAGCAAAGGTAAGCTATCTAGAAACGTGGAGCGCTATATTACGCCTATAAACGGTTACATAGATGTTCCAGAGAATAGTAGGCGTTCCAGAGGTCGCTCCTGAAATGACGGTGCGCCAGAACTTTGGATCACGTTAACACTTGTAATACTTTGTAAAATCTGGGTTTGGCCTTTGCCAGACTTTTTGAAAACTGTGAATAAGCTCGCTAAGGGTAGGAAATGGGCTTTGATCTTGCCTTACGGAGTTGATTTTATTTAGTGGTATACATTGATAAACATTGAATGATGTACATGGATTATAATTGTGTGCGCTTGGGCGAGGAGAGTCAATGAGTAATCAGTGTTGTTTACTTTCATATAGCATAATTATTGTTACATGAGTGATCAAGCTTCAGGTGATTTGCCTAACTTTGCAATTCTTCGTATATCGTCACGTGGCAAAACCACAGCAGGAATATACCAAACATTTCGCAAAACATTGAATAAAAAATATAGCTCCAATGTTCGCTAGCCTTACGAACAGCAATGCTACGCTGAGCTAGACGCTTGCCTTTTTTTTTCTCGTTTATAACTATGTAACAAGGGTTTTACACTGTCACACTGGAGCTTATTTGCAACATGGTGATAGTGTTATCACTACCG